CCCTTAGCTCAAGGTCTAGATCCGCTGCTGAGTACGGTGAACATATTTTGGTCTTGAATGAAAAGAAAACAAAATAATACAAAACGGAACAAAATGATCAACTCAGGTGAAAATTAGTTGAAAAAAATTGCGCAAAAAAAAGACGTGAATATGATTAAGTCTCCAATCCACCTTTTAATTCGCAAGAAGATGAGATATGAGGCAGATGTGCTGATTTTAGTCCAACTTGTCACACTCGGTTCTGCTAGAAAGGACCTTGGGAACGACTTAAAAATGTCGTTTGCCCGACGAGGACAAGTTTTACCTGATTTGTTGTCATTTAGTTGCTGCTTTTCTTGCAGGAAACGGAATAGCAAATCTGACACGATTCATCATGGTAACTTAAAGCTCAAAACTATTTAGTGCAAAAGACAATCGATTCATTTTTACAACGCCCGCATTGTAAATTTATCTTTTTAGGTCAATTTAAAGGGTCGTGTGATCTGCTACAGAGCAGATGGTCGCTTCCGTGGGTTCCAGTTGGAGTATCTTGGTGTCGCCTGGGATGTGGAGAGTGGAACAAGTGTAAAAGCCAGGCACTACAAAAGTAGACAAGGTGCCATTGAACATGCTGTTAAGCAGTTGATTGATGAACTCAAGGCTAAAGGAATACTGAGTTAAATCAAACGTAAAGGAAAGACTATATTTTCCCTTCGTCTTCAACCGTGAGGTGAAACATTAAATTTCAAAGCAATACAAAGATTTGAAGGATTACATCACTGTCCTTTTACCTTGAAAAACTCAAGTTTCCCGCTCTCTATTTGGACCTATAGTTTTGTAGAAATTGATTTCGGGGTAGTTTTTAATATAAGAATTAATCTGACACAGTAAATAATTGAGGTGAAGAAATTTTTTCTTTTGAGTTATAACATTACTGAAGGGGATACCCTGACTTAGGGTTAGATTAGAAATGAACACCACATACAATTCAAGTGAATGGCACTTTGACCCTCTCAGTGCCGCCCGGAAGTGAAGCTGTTTTTTCGTTTTCATCTTTTTTTACTTAATGTCTTCTTCAAAAGCTATTCTTATACCACAGTTTTTTTAATATATATGAGTGTGTGTACTTATTAAGCTTCTTACGCACAAAGTTTTGTGCGGAAAACTTTGTGCGGAAGTGAAGCTTGTATTTGCTTATATATAAAAAAAAAAAAAAAAAGCGATGAAACACGTTTATAGTTAATTAAAAACAGACCATAAAAGTCTGAAGACTCTCTCGCAGATGGCGTATACATCTATGAACGAAAAGTTCAACAGCCAGATAAAGAGCATTGAATAAAGATCATTGAATAAAAATCATTGAAGTGGCTCCATTAGGCCCATGAAGATTAATTTTTTTTGCACGGATCAAGTTTCACTGGTTTTTCAGTTTCTTCCTTACAATTTTGTTATGAGAATAAAACGAACTGGAACTTGTCGCTTCAAAAGCGAAGTTTTCGAGTTAAAAGTACTTTTGTTCCTTTCTATCATTTGCAGGCTCAGTGCCTCTAGTTTCCTTCGCCCCCTGTTTTGAATTTTTACGAAACGATACAAAATCTGAAGTTTGAAGGGGCTTGATTTCGAATCACGTCCCCCTCCCCCTTCCCTCTCCTCAACCCTCCCCTGCGTGGAAAATTTGGTATTTCACCACAAGATAACACCAATTTATAGTAATCTTCCCTTATCACCATTGGTTTGCTTTCATTAAGTGCGCAGGTCCTGGGTACGAGTAACAGCCGAAACTGTTAGGACATAACGAAAGTGTTCTTCTCGTAGAATAGTGAGCAATTGTTCCCTTTTCTTCCGCTGAGATAACAGGTTAGTTTCACACCTTTCTTGATATAAGGAGCGTTGTCATCAATGTGATTTGTTAGCCAATTTTTTCCTCAGTACGGGAGATAGCGACGTCAAACCAGATCTGGTAACTGTTTAGAGTCTCAAAATTTTACAAGAAGTCGTAATGTCGAATGCCCAATAGATATGTTCATGAATCACACATTATAAATCAACGGAGGAACGTTTTCTCAGCATTAACTGTGGCCAACAAAAGAACAAGTTTATCTATTAATTACGACGTGTCTTAAGCAAATAACCGAAATTTCATTCTAATACTCATAAGTTCGCTAAGCCAAGTGATTTAGACTTCTGATCTAGCCGTTGCCGGCTCGAGCAAATCAGAAGTAAAACTGTTTTCAATTGACTGATCAAAATTTTGTTCTTCCTTAAGTCTCATAGCACCAGCTGACATAACTATATCTTCACTGAGTTGTTTTCACATTTCAAGGAGCGATTCCGAAGGTAAGTTAATTTAAGCACACTTCCGATCAGTTTTGTTACTGGTGTTATATATAATGCACTCGGGAAAACACAGCGATGAATTGCAGCTTCTAATTACTTTAAAGTAACCGTGAAGTATTACAATAGCTTTTACTCTCAAGTAAATTTCTTATCGACAGATTCTTGAAATTAATTTACTTGCGACGGTTGGGAAAGAAATGTAATTTACAGTGAATCTTTTTCTTCTCTCCCCAGAAAACAAAATTCAAATTTTTCGCTTTTAGTTTCCAGCTGCGATTGGATTCTCTTTCACAGGAAGGGCAACACGTCTTCTCACCGTTTCTAGTGTATAGTGTGGAATGAATTACAGAGAATATTGTCTTGAATATATGTAATAAAATAGGACTCACTCATGGCCAGTGTTACACCAACTGCTTCATCCACAAAGGAGACAACAAACTATGCTAGGTTGTGCCGTCTGCTGGTTGATATTGGAACCCAAGCTCTTCGAGACACGTTAGATGCCATCCATGCACCAGCTAATCTGCCCACAGTTTTGGCGGCAAACCAACCTACCTTACAATCTCTCAGAGCAAAGGGGATTATCAATCCAATACAATGGGGAAAGCTTTTCCCTGCCATTCCAACTTCAGTATCTTCAAGTAACTTTGACACGACCCTCTTGATGGTTCTGCTGCGAAACCTGTGCGGCTTAACCGCTCCGCTGACCGGCTGGAACGCATTCCCTGCCGCAACAGACCTCAGCAGGGAAGCAGACATTGCCCGAGTGAAGTATTTTAGGAACACTGTGTACGGTCACGCTGAGATAGCTTCTGTTGATGACAACAAGTTCAATTACTACTGGCGTGACATCCGGGACACACTGGTCAGACTGGGAGGTGTTAATTATGAAGCTGCTATTGACTATCTTAGAAACGAGACCATGGACCCTGTAGTTGAAGATCACTACGTGGAACTACTGCGTCAGTGGAAAAAGGACGAGGACAACATTAAAGATGAGCTGGCAGAGATTAAGAAAAAGCTTGAAGAAATAACATCAAAAGATATCATAGACGAAGGTGAGGTCAATTAATAATTTGCATTGTAAATAATCTGATCAATGAAAAGATTGAAAGCTTACCGTTTTGCAATATGTGAATATGTATGGTTAGGTAAGAGAAGGATATTCAGGCGCTATGAAAAGGACTTAGGCCAGGCCTTCGATCTTCCTGACTAATACTTCTGACGCGCTCTAGCACTCAATTGTAACAGCCTTACCCCCTCCCCCCACACTGTTTGGATATAACTGTCAATCATGATAATGCTTTTCAATTAATAAAGGAGGTATGTTTCCAAAGAAACCGTGGTGCTATGTCGGTAGGGGTAACAAGGAAATTTGGATTTATCAACTAGGTTGATAATTCAAATTGGCCACCGTAAAGGGTTAAAAAGCTGACGTTTCGAGCATTAGCGCTTCGTCAGAGCGAATGGAGAAATTGTGGGTTGTGTGTGTGTTTATATGCAGAAGGTGAAGCTAAGCCATGGGTGGGAACATGGTGACGAGAAAAACAAGAGTAAATTAGTGGAATGAAAAACGTCCGTTGATACCTACGGGATTAAGAGTGCCCTTTGTTCAAGAGTTTTGCGGCTTTCTGAGCTACCTAAATGTAAGGAAAGAAACGTCAGCTTTTAAACCTTTACGGTGGCCAATTTACATTATCAACTTCGTCGATAAAACCAAATTATAATGCTTTTCAATGTTTTCAACCTTAAAAGATTGAGCTGAAATAATTTCTTGTCTGATTGACACAAAAGAGGAAATTCTCAGTTTAAGAGTCGATCGTGTGATCGTTATTTGAGATTTACTTCCTTTAAACGATAGGAGATTTTTAGCTGGTTCGTGAAAGATTAGTTCCACACAGAGAAAATTATAATACTGAAAGTAAAATTAAAATGTTTGGGACTTTATTTCTTTTTTTTTTTTTTGTGACGGAAAGGGTCTGAAAGGAAAGAGTCTGTGTTACACCCATGGGCTTCTGCTATCCATTATAAAGCGCCGCAGTTAATGTATGTTTACTGGAGTGTCCATAGTTTTCAGCCATGCGCACTCTCTTATGGTTAATAAAATTTTCGTACTAGAGCGAATCCCTGATGGTAAACAATCCAGCCCAAAGCAAAACTCTGGGGAAAGTTTATTCGAAGCTATTCGAAAAAGATTCACTGAGCATGGTGATCTGCAGTCCGGTCAGCCGCATGCATCTCCGTCTGTGCCAGATCGGACCCCTGGTGGAAATCAATCTAGCCCTGGGGAAAGTTTATTTGGACCTCTTTTGCAGAGCTTCACTGGGCATGGTGATCCGCAGTCTGGCCAGGTACGTGTATCTCCGTACGACAGAAACATCCCATTAGCCATGACTGTATATTTTAGGTTTTCTCTTAACACTGAGTTGGCACACTGATTAAACGAGTCCACAATCATCAAAATTAGCTTATACTAAAACAATGGATGGTGTTGAAGGCGCACTCTGATTGGCTACTCAATCTACGAATATACTTTGCTATTCACCTCCAAGCAACTCGCGCGGGATTTGCTCCCAAATATATTTTTAAACTTTATAGAAGCAAATGAGTTAAAACCATCTTTTTGCGCTTATCATCTCATTGTTTTAGTACATACTAAAACAACTATTGAACTCAGTGTCGGTGGCGACCCATGGATATTTATTCGCCACCTCGCACGTTGGTAAATATCAACTACTATCCACCTCAAACTCGGTGAATAGGTGTTAACTAAAGTTTGTATCGTATTAATCTCAAAAAGATCTTGTAATCAGTTGTTTTACTTGAAACTTGTGAGAACAAACAGGCTATTCATGAATTCCTGTCAGAAACGTGGGAACTTTGTGGCCAGTGGTCGACTTATTTCTCTCTTCACTAATATCTACTTCTTTTTCTCCTCCACTTCAAGTCGACGAATGATCAAAAGAAATACGGTTACAAACAATTTCGATGATTTTGAGGGAAACTGGGTCGAAGGGTTTGTTCATTGTGTTTCTTAAGTCAGTTGGATGTTTTACCTTATATGAATAAAGCTTTGTACAAAAAAAAATTTTATTTATTTATCTTTAGCTTACGTTGAAAGGACGAGAAATTCACTACAGGTCACACAGGAAGATTCACTCTTCAGAGAACCTTTTGGTTTACGACGCTACAGCCTGGGACCTAGAGAGTGGTTTCACCTATGATACAAGTGGTTATGACAACAGGAACGATGCTGTGGACGATGCTGTGGACAAACTGATGGGAATTCTCAAGAGCGAAGGGCTCCTCAGTTAACGACTTGTGATTTGGCTCCCCCGGCAACCCACTGGCATTTGACTGTTTCCCGTGTCCGGGGGTTGGGGAATTTGAACCTTGCCTGGGTGGGGTCGGGGATTGGGATGGTTAGTTTCAAGTCTCTCCAGCTAAAGTTTGGTCAATGGGTAGAAAGTCACGGTCACCGATTTTACCTTTTATAAAAAAGTTGAGTATAGCATTTGAGCACAATTTTTGCCCCCCGGTGAGGAGGGATGGAGGGAGGGACTCGAAAAAACCAATCTTCAAAAGTTCAAATGCCCGGGGGTTTGCTCGGGGTAGAATGTTAAAGCTTCGAATTGATCTACGCTTGATAAAGAAACTCAATACAGGCCACTAACTGTCTCTATTAAACGTCTTTGAGCCAGACTCATCACGAGGTGAGGAAAAATTGTACAAGGACATCAAAAGCTTGAAAGAAGTTTAAAGGAGAGACTCAAATGGGCTCAGTGCTTTTTACATTTTATTGAGTAAAGTTTGACATCATTATTGGTTACAAGGTTTTCAGTATATGCATATTTTACATATTTACATTTTGCTTAGGGTAGAGCAAAATATTTTAGAAATTTGTAGAACAGGTTGAAAAGGCTGCAAAGATGACATCCATTTGGTCCTTTTCGTTCACCATGAATAATTCGACGGTCTTTCATGCTTTAGGTCTTGACTTTCCGATTCTGTCTGTTCTCAGTGTTGCTGCATTGACTTATTTCCTACCCCTTAGCTATTTCTTTCTTTCTCATTTGACTGTGTTGTTCTGTTGTTTCCTACGATTTTGCTTATTTTCTGTTGTATTTATTTTTTTACAAGTATTATTATTTGTTTTTTCTATGTTGTCCATTTAATATTTATCTTAACTTTTACCATTGTATTTTTTAATTCTTTTCTTTTCCTTGCTGTTCTAAGTTTTTCTTTTTTTTTCCTTCTTGTGTCTTAAGCCATTATTTTTTTATTCTTTTAACATCTTTTGTTTTGAATTAACATGTGCTCTTAGCACTATTTATTTAAGGTCTGAGAGACTTTTTTTGTTTTCTTGTTGTTCTTTGTTTGTTTTCTGTTTTTGTATTTTTCTTTTTTCTTAAACTCGTAGGATTACAAACGTACAACACTTTGTAGGAAAAAAAATCGCTTCCGGAATGTTCAATATGTCGATGGTTAGAACACGGATCAAATGACGTCACGTTACTGATGACGTCACGTTAATGAAGAAATGTCCTGGGTGTTATCTTTGCAGCTTGGCTAAAAACGTAAAAGCTTATGTACAGAAAAAGGAGTTTACAACTGAACTTAAATCTGGGGTCGAGTGTACCAACCATGAGGCCACTAAGTCTCTCAGCTATTCATTATACCTGTACATAGTTGGGAGCTGCTTTTAATGCTTCATGAACTAGCTGTTACCCTTATCCTTGATGCAAACCTCCACCCAATCCTTATCCAAATAAATACACCTGGCGTCACGTTACTGAAGAAATGTTCTGGATGTCATCTATGCAGCTTGGCTAAAAACGTAAAAGCTTATGTACAGAAAAATAAATTTACAACTGAACTTAAAAAAAATTACAAGCTTCTGTGCAGAAATAGAGCTCTCTTGAAATAAATAATTAATATAATTAGCATTTCAATAAAAATTGTGTTCATTCTACTATGTTTAACATAGAAAACCTCACAAATATCTTTTGAATACTTAGTTGTTCATCAGAGCTTTGTATGAACAACCGAATATACGACGTTAAACTAAAATTAATTGGCTATGTACACAAAATTTCCCGGATTCAGTTACAACATAACATCAAAATTTAGTAGTCCAAAAAAATCACAACAAGTTTCAGAATCCATTGTTAAAATAAAGTACTGAGTATTGGCAAAATCGAAAAGCAAATAAATAAATAAATAAAAAGAAGGGATCATGAGTTTAAAATTAGAGATATTTGGTGACAAAATCCGGAATACCTGGAAGAAAATGGGAAAAAATATGAAAGCTGTTACTAGGGAAAGTTCAGATTCTCCTATATAGTTTCATTCTAATAAATCTCTTCTAATCTTTGTTGCTTGCAAGTTTTATATTATCCATAAATAATTCGCTTGACCACGGTTTTCCAACCTGTAAATTACTAGTTTTTCATTGCTGTGTTACTATCTCCCCCCTCCCCTCCATCATGTATTTTAATTATCTACACAATCCTTCTATCAATGGTAACCACCCCTTTCTAAATAATCTTACCTTGAATATCGTTAAGGTACCTTTCGGACTTTGTCATAACAATCCTTTGCCTCATTTCTCTCCTACGAAAACATAAAACAAATTTAAGGTTAATACGAGAAGTGAGCCGGATTCTTTTGGAGTGGGGAGGGGGGGGGAGGAAGCAATTTGGCCTACTCTGACAGGCATCTAATAATCGACAAACTATTGTAAGTTTAGGTGAAATACATATACTGGGATGAAAACCGGTATGAAAAAAAGGACAATTGAATTTATTCTGCTGATTCGTATCTGAGATACTATACATATGAGATAATTGTGTTTCTTGCTAACCAGAGTCTTCTTTTTCTTAATTGTTATCTTAATTACAACAACTATTTACACTAACTTGAGAAATGGGCTGAGCAATAAACCGAGAGCCTTCAGTTTCTTCTGTGGTTTGAAGATGATGCATTTAGCCATCCGGTCGAGGAACCTGAAAAAGGAAATAAATAAAGAATAATACATGGGTGCGCGTAGATATGGAATTTCTCTTCGTGAGTTCAAATACTCGCTATCTCATGCGTGAGACAACGCAATTCTTACGACAAGAAATTATATCATGAAAATCATTTGAATTACCCATTCTTTAGTTTCTGGTAGATCTGTTTGCCGAGCCCGTCCTTGATACCGCACTTTTCACTACTTCCGCCATGAACGACTATCACAAAATTATGCGTCTCCACGTAAGTTAAGATAAAAACTTCAAGGTACCTGCAATAAAAAAGGTATCTCATCGTTGGTAACCGTGGTGCACACTGATTACTGGTTGCAACACTCTTTAGGGCCTGTTACAAAAATAAAATCGTAGAACCTGATTGGAAACAGGCTAATCAGACACGAGGTTTGATAATTCATGATATCATGAGAAACCGAATCAAATAATTTTTTTATTTTACAGCTTTTAAACAATCTAAAAAAGATACTTCTCTCTGAGTTTGCAAAAGTTTGAGAGCACAACATAGACAAGGGGCTTAGCAGATTTTGAACTTGATAAGATAACCCAATATCCGCTGCATATATTAGGTTATCATGTCAACGTCACACGCTATAAAAGTGAATGCTCTCAACCAATTAGATTTTTCATTGTAAGTCTAGTGTTAAATAATACCTCATATAAGACTGAGCTAAGGTGACTTCAATACTTACCCGCATAATTCTCTTACGGCCTGTTTGAAATTCTTCTTTCCTTCCTTATTCTTATTGAAATGTTCTTTGTTAGGAAGTCTATCTGTATCTATAAAGATGATGTCTTTGCCGTCTGACGTTCGAACTCCTACAAAAAAATAGAGAAAATTGCGTGTATTTACGTCAAAACTGGAAGGTATTCAGCGCACAAGTCTAAGATCCTACCGAGTGTATTGACATCATTTCATTATATCCTAGAATGTCATCGAAAAAGACAACCAAAAAATCCAAAATAAGACAGTAACAAATGACTGTTCTGGCCTTGGATTTTCCCCAATAACCACAAACCCCAAAGGTATAATACCCAAACGGTAAAAACCACAGTACATGAATATAGTTTTGGGCTTTAATAATTAAAAAATCAATACCCAGACGATATAAGGCCTTCTCGTAGACGCTAGGCTCGAGCTCCTCAAAGTAATTGGATTCATGTACTTCACTCTCAACTAGGATCTCCTCGGTGACATGGTATTCCTGTGCTTTATCACAGCTGGGGCTGTTCTGTGTAATATTGGATGTAGTCATCGGTGCTGCGAATGGTTCCCTGTTTTTAAATGCTAGAAATTGAGAATAGTTATCAGCTTTCTTTTCTTTTCTCACCGACATATCTACAAACCTTGGTACATTCCTATTTGAGATATTTAGTTTTAATCTTTTTGACAAAACTAAAGAGCGTCAACTAAACATCCGTGTAGAAACCCAAAAAGCGAGTAATTTTTTCTTCACGTAAATTAGCTTAAACGAATCGGTCGAAGATCTTTGACCAATAAGTGCCACATACTATTAGAGTTAATAACCACATTTACAGATTTTTACCTAACCTCCCGGTTAGCTCAATGGATAGAGCGCTGGACTGTTGTGCGGGAGGTCGAGGGTTCGAGCCCCGGCCGGACCAACACTCAGGGTCTTAAAGTAATTGAGAAGAATTTGCTACCTTTCTATAACATCAAGAAATGGTTAGAGTAGTCTTCTCGGATAGGGACAAATAAATGGAGGTCCCGTCTCCTGCAGGGTTGGGGTAGGAGACGTTAATTTCCCACACACGAGATTACTGTGTGATGGATGTCCTCCCCTGGGGTGGGATGGGTGGGATATTGGGCGCACTTAATTTGGAGCCTCGCTCTGTTGTGCGACCCTCACCACACTCTGGTGAAAGTAATTAAATAAATAACAAGTTTTACACGTCTAATTGTAATCTTTTTCAGATCTATCTTTCAAAACCTGAATGCAATTCTGAGAGAACCGTTGCATCAAGACAGCGAACATAGAACATGAGTGTCGAAAGCGATCTGCAAATGCCATTGAATATTCCTTACAACGCGGTGTGATTGGTCCGAAAAACTCGTAGCACTCTTTCAGCCAATCCAATGCCGGACAATACTCAATACCACCACTGCTAAGGCTGCCGACCAATGGTCACCGATTAGATTGACAGCTTAAAAAACACTTTCATCTGTCTTATTGGTTACATTTTAAACTTACGACTTCCTCCATCCAAATTTGAACTTCCACATTTCTTTGTCGGCCATTTTCCTTTATGGGCTAAAAATATTGGGGGGAAATATGCGTAAGATATGCAAATGAGTTGCATTAAATATTTGAATTCAAAAAAAGAAAAAATGAGGGCGGGGTTATTTATCATGAACCATACACGTGGCGTGAAGATGACAAGTAGGACGAAACCACCGCATGATGACATCGGGAAAAACTAAACTATTTCATCACTTATACTGATTTCTGACATACATTTAAGTTTTCCTAGCCTTGACTTACTTAGCTTCGTTTTGCTTGCCCTGCTTAGGTCACCTCTTTTTCCGCTTTGATATCAAATTCATTCATTTCAAAAACACATGACAACTGTACAAGGCAATTAAGCGCTTGTGAACTTCACCATGAAGGTGCAAAAACTAATTGTGCGCATCATTTTCCCTTCTTTTAGGACTTACAGTGCCCAGTTTCCAACGGTTCTACAATGTTGTTTCCTATACAGGACAGCAGGGATCTTACTTCAAGTTTTTGCTTGGAGTAATCTTCAACTGATTTCCCCTGAAAGACAACAGCAAATGTTAAATATTTTTGATAGAGGATGTTCATTTTCTATGAAATTTTTCAATGGATGTTTGCATTGAGAAAGACTTACCGAGGCAGGAACAAAAAGTTTTGAAATAGAACGGTGCTTGCCAAATTTTAAACTCTAGAACTTTGATCTTTAGCATAACTGTTTGATATTTCAATCAATGGCCCTCATCCTTTTAAGCTAAAATCATTTTATCTCATTGCAGCAGCTTAAGCGAGGAAATGGTCAAAGCACGCATTTATTTAGTACATTATATTAATCGAGTTTTAATTGCGCCCAGTCTTTTCTGGTTCGTATAATTTCTAAAAGCGATCACGGAATCCTAGTAAGTGTTACCCTCTCGTCTTCTGATGGTTCATCCTTCACTCTCCATGCCACGAGGTTGGAGAAAATATCCAAACCAAACGAGGTGCTTGGCTCAGCATCAGGAAATAAACAGGTGTTCACAGCACTATCTTGTTTTGCAGGACTCACACTGTTCTTCTGAGGAATAAAAAAATTAACGTCAAGTAGAGCCGCAAATTCGCTTAGTAGTCCTGAAACAATATATGCCAGAGGATGACCATGTCATCAATGAAAAATTAGGAGCAGCCAGGCCTAAAATTTATCCTAACTTGATAATGATTTGTTGATAGAAGTAAAGTTTATGTTGCAATATTTTTCTCGTAGAATCTTACCACTTACTCTGGTGGTTAATAACAACATGTGCCGTATTTGCCTGCTTTAGATACTAGGTTTAGGCTAACTGTCGTAAATGCAAGTACAAAAAGCCAGTTTGTGTATTTTCTTAATTGAATTCATTAAATTCTTATACCCAAACTGCTTCGGTTGGATACAGTTTATCACAGACCTCTTCCTGCGAACAAGGACGGAGCTCTGCCGAGTCGTCAACTGAGTATTGGCAATCGTCTGCGGCAGCAACCTGCTGGGAAAGAAAATATCGCCCTTAATTAATTTTCCCTAACATCAATATAGAATGGTTTGCGAACCACTGGTCTTGTCTCGTAAACGGAGTCAATTTTTAAAGAATATATAAATCTCACAAGTTTATTGGATTATGAAGGTAAATCATTGCCTTTTGTTACAGTCCTACCTCGACCGCTACCTCGCCAGTTTCTTTACTGACAGACTCTTCAGCGGAAATTCTCTGACTTTTCGTTCGCTCCAGAGGATCTGTCTGACACAATCCACAGCTTTCTGAAACGCAGGACTTGACCGAGACGGCCGAATTGTCTTCCCCGGAAGCCTGCGAATCAATAGATGTTTATATAATAACGATTGCATAAGCCGGACTGTAGTTCTGAACAGGATGGAATCCCTGCACCAGGCTGAGTCAATAAATATTAGGGATGTGGAAGCGATGATCTTATTTAACTGTCTGCTTGTTGGTTTTTTCCCCTTTTCTTCCTTTTTTTTTTTTGCACAACCGAAATATTTCAGGAAAAATTATCGCAGTTCGAAAACCAGTCAAAACCCGTTTAAATGGAATGAACTCATAAAATAGACAACACCCTCCTATATTCAGACGGTCGAGTAAATACGATTGAACTTTTTCTTTTTTTATCGAGTGTACATTTCACTTAGGACTGAAGGCTTTGAAGTCATTTTAGGAATCAAGACCCTAGAACCACGTCTGTTAAAATCTAAAACGCTCATTCAAAGTTTAGGAAATAACGCCAAATACAAAGGGCCAACCATTTTTAGAGCGTAAAACACAGTTATTTGCTGGTAAATCTTTCACTGGTCTCCTGGCTTATTCAAATTTCCTTAAACGTTTCCTTGGGACAAGACAAAAAAAAAGAAACAAACAAGCTAGAATTTTTTGATAAATGTCAAATGGCGACCCTATCTCAACTGCGTCGAGAAACTAATGCACAAGACTTGTGAATTAATTTAGGTTCATTCTAGAGGAGATCCTTACAGCCAGAAGAAACAAACAATACGTACCGCCATGAAATTGCTTGCAAATGATTTAATTTTGACGCGATTTTCTTTTTCTGACATTAAAGCTGTACTGTTGAATTCCGCGGCGAAAGAGGATTTGGTTTCAATTAGTTTCGTCACGCTGTCGTAACAAATGGTGATGACGTGTTCTTTTTCAAGCAACAATAAATATTCGAAATGTTATCAATAATTGAATAATTAAAAGAGAGGAAAGTTTCGTAGTTTGTTCAATTCAATTTTCTCTTATTCGTCTCTGATTTGTGAAGAAGTTAAGACCAACTTGGAAACCTTGCTGATATCTTCAGAGGGGTAGAAAAGTGATTTACGTTAGGTTTCAATGACAACTATGCGCGCGCGCAAAGTTAAAAAAAAAAATCAGCAACCACCAAAACGAGGTTGTAATCGTACTTTGCATTTCCATCTGTCTGTCTGTGCACTTGGCGCTTTGCCAACATGTCTATGCAACGTTCTGTTTCTCTGCACAGTACACCAAAGAGTTTGTTTCTTCATTCGTTAAAGTATTGTTGTTCGTCGGCCTGTCTAGTTGGAGGATTAAGATGAGGAGATGGGTGACTTTCTCTTATGAACCAAATAAAGAAAAGAAAAAACATCCCTGAGCCAAGGATATCGCTAATGTATTAAAGTGCCAAAAATGTCTACCCAGCACCCACGAAACTGCGTTAATGAAGCTGCGTGGAAAATACTTCATTTGCTAGGTCGGTTTCAACTGTACCTTTACGCAGTTTGCGCTATGTCAGCTGTCTTACCCCTGAAAACACAGGGTGACTTGATAGGTCAGGTCTTTAGAGGGCCTGGTTATCGATTACCAAAGACCATGCTATTCGGAGCACTATCACCCAGTCACTGCAACAAGGCTGCAAAGCTGTCACGTCCTGCTACGTAGACGCCTTAAACAGGACTATCAATAATTCTAAAAGGAGCGCCTGGTAGCTAGCATATCCACTAAGTCCTCAACCCCCTTTAAGCAAACCACCGTTCCAGTCTCGAGGAGGAAAGATATATAAAGGCGACAAAAAAAGTGCCAGAACAAAGACAACCCAGATCAGACATCATGCCGATCTTCGGAATTAAACTTGTTGGTCTCCAGCGCTAGCGTGCATTTGCAGGAGTAAGGACTGGGGCGACCTTACCAACAGTCAATTTATTTTCTAAAAATCCAAAACAACAGCGTATTTACCCAAAATTATTTTATTCAATTGAACTCAATGAATGATAATAGGACAACCCTTAAACTGTGAGACCACTTGATTTTGAATTGTTTGATCTTAAAATACTACTGTCTCTTGTACTGAATAACTATGTTGCTTTACTTTATTTAATATAATTTACTAAATTCACCTTACCTAACTGCTACTGATGCATGTCTTTGCTTAAAAAAATATCTCTTGATCTACAATTCACTTTCATCCAATTCAACTGGTAAATGTTAATTCCAAACATGTTAATTCCAAACAATTGAGCTCGACACAGTTCTTGCCGCTCTAATCGCGCGGGACTCGCCACTTGTGCCGCGGCACTTTTTAGCGCCTGCTCACAAGCAAATTTCACTCCACTGAGACCGCCCTTACCTGCCTAGTCAATCAGCTGCTCTTTGACTTGGACAAGAACAAAGTATCGGGGCTTGTGTTTATTGACTATAAAAAGGATTTTGACCTCAGAGACCACGGTCTGCTCTTAGAAAAATTGAAAGCCTATGGGGTATGTGATAGCGAGCTGGAACTACTATGCAGTTATCTAAGTGCACGCACACAGTATGTACACATCAATGGCTGTCATTCCTCCCCAAGAGCCATGTCGGCTGGAGTACCCGGCAAGGGAGTATTTTGGGTCCCATTTTGTTCCTCTTATTCATTAACGATCTGCCATCGGCGGCACAGCATTCTATCATTGACAACCAGGTGGATGACAATATTCTCAGTTTATCATCAGACGTGACTAATGGACTTACTGCCATGTCATCAGCACTCCAACAGGACTTAGATGACGTCTCGCGGTGGTCGGCTGCTAACAAAATGGTTACAAACGCTGCGAAGACAAAATGTCTCCTTCTTACAGGGAAACGCATACCATGCAAGCTTGACAATTGTTCACTGGAGCTCAAACTTGCTAACTCTCACACAGAACCTGTTGATAGTCAGAAACTCTTGGGGGTTACTATTGACAAACACTTAAGCTTTGATGTACACGTTGAGGAACTGTGCAAAAAGTTGTCCGAGAGAATAGCGGTTCTTAGAAAGACAAGGAGATTCATCCCTATTGAACAGCGCACACTTTACTACAATGCTATGATCAAACAAGTAATGTTGTATGGGTCAACTATCTGGTCAAACTGCTCAGCTGATAACTTAACGAGAATCCTCAAGCGGCAAAAACGTGCTGCCCGAGTAATTTTGGGAGCTGACACAAGATCAAATAGCGTAAATCTTTTTAATAAACTAGGGTGGCTCCACTTTATGATGAAGCTAAAATCAATAAGTGCTCACTAGTCCTTAAGCGCCTTCAAGGAAACTGCCCCAGCTACATGTATGACCTTCTTAAATGCAATGCAGATTTACACACACGCAGTGGGCGGTACTGTGCCTTAAACCTCGTCTGCCCCAGATATGATCGTGAATCTGAGGGAGGGAGAACTTTTAGCGTCTCCGCAACCAGGCTCTGGAACTCTCTGCCTATCAACCTTAAGAAAGTAACATGTGTAACCTCATCTAGAAAGGCTATTTATAGGCATTTTTTAACCAGATACAATGACGTTGATCATTTTAGCGTAACTGAAACTTAATTTTATTCATAATTTTATGCTAATCCAACATTTCATAACCTTCATCTCGCTCGACCTATCCCAGCTGTATTCTTATTGTAATTATAGTTTGTAGATATTCATTGTAAGAATATTTTTATAAGTGTAATATAGTTTTTACTATTGTTAGTCCTATTCATACATACACTCATACTTCCTTTCTTTATGACATGTATTTTGTTACTTAACTTTGTTTTGCAAATTTAGTTTGAGGGCCACTAGTTACTCAGTTCAAGCACTGTCCCGTGTTACCCTCGTTAAATAAAGTTGATTGATTAATTGATTGATTGATTAAGCAAGAGATGAAAAGCGCAATAAACGGGGTGTCATTTTTCCCTGTCCTTCCTGATCTTCTATATGTACACTTAATGGGAAAAGAAAGATTAGACAACATATTCGTTGGAATTCTAGAAGCTCTGAGATCAGAGAGCCTCTGAGAAGCAAAACATTTTAACAGAAAAAAAGTAACAGTGATTTTGCCTTTGAATTTCTGCATATAGTTAGGTTACCCATACGATCAATTAATAACAAAACTATTTGTTTATTAAGGGTTTGTCAATGTATGACAAGAAAAATTCACAAACACGATAGCAATGGTAGGAATCTCCCCTCCCTACCCAAGGAAACCAGTAACAAAAACTCTCGTGAAATATAAATGCTGAGACAAAGACAAATATCTGGAAAGTCATCAACACTAAACTGACAAACAACTGACTTCTAAGCGGAATTGCAGCGTGCTTGTGGTTCAACCTAATGACAAATCCTGAAGACTTCAATTTCATGTTTCGTTTGATATCTTCATCCAGTCTCTGCATGTTTCATAGTTTACAGATTTTCATCCTCTGAATGTGGACTGGGCTCCACCCTTTGCCTTCTGGTGACCATATAAATCACGTGTTCCTGCTCTGCCCTCCAGGTGAGCACTGTGGGACACATGGAGAGTAGAATCCTCAAGTAGCTCTGGTGGTAATTTTTGTTGCTCAGTCCGTAGATAACAGGATTCACACAGCTAATGGCAAAAGTAAGAAATGCCACAGCATGTTGTTCTTCACAGTCCGCCCTCATTTTCCCTGCATACACCAATAGAGCAGTTATCTGATTCAGTGTGTGGCAGATGATGGATATGAAACAAACAAAACCTATCATC